CACCATTCATGCCAAATTCTAATTTTACACTAACCATCATTTACAACACACCACCGTTGACACCACACCACAACTTTATACACAAAGCACTGTGCACACCCAACTGCATTTTACAGCAACCACCATTTACACCAAACCGCGTTTTACTTCAACCACCGAATACTTCAAACCATGAGGTGCACCAAACACCGCTGACCTAAGTTCACGGTTTATACAAACCACCGATTACATCAAACCACATTTTACGCCAACCACCATCTCCACCAAAACACGATTTACACCGCCCCACGACTTACTCCAACCACCGATTTACCTCAAACCATGTTATACACTACACCACGGTTTACCCCAACCGCCGTTTATATCAAACTACATTTTACATCAACCACCGGCTGCGCCCGAACATGTTTTACAGCAAACCAACGTCTACACCACGCCACGGCTTGGTACACCAACCGCCGGTTACACCAAACCACGTTTTATACCAACCACTATTTACACCACACCACGATTTGCGCCAACCACCATTTACACCAAATCACGACTTAATAAGCCAACCACCATTTACACCAAACCACACTTTACATCAACCGCCGTTTACACCGAACCACGTTTTACACCAAACCACGGTTTACACCGCGCCACACCAGGGTTTACACCAACCGCCATTTATATCAATCAATATTTTGCATCCTTTCGGGCTCTCTTCATTCGTGTGGGCAGGCCCACGCGATATGCAGATTTTGTGCTGCAACGTTCCCAAAAAAAAAGTGTTCGCAACCACTGGTAAACTCTATTCCATAACCTGGCATGCTTCGTCCAGTGGCTTTTGGCACGCTTCGTCCATTGAACCTTCACGTGTTTGATGTGTTGCACAATCACGCAAGCCTGAACAGACTATCTCTGCGCGACGTATTGTGGCACACTCCATCAATAAACGAAGGTCCGAACGAAGGTCACTTATCTCCCCCTCGCCCCCCCCACATGTCATTGAAGATCAATATACTGGTCAATAGGCATGAAATAACAATCAACATATTGGTCAACAAACCTGAAAAACAATCATTGCGAAAGAAAATGTTGCACTCATCTGGGGGACCCGTATGGCCGTGACACCACCTCAAACAACGATTCACATCAAACCATATTTTACACCAAACCACCGTTTATACACTCACCACCGTTTACATCAAATCACGTCTTACACAAACCACCGTTCACACCAAACTACGTCTTACACCAACCACTGTTTACTCCACACCACGATTTGTGCCAACCACCGCTTACACCAAACCACAGCTTAATAAGCCAACCACCCCTTATCTAAAAGCACGTTTTATACCAACCAGGGCTTAGGGTTGATCTGCTTATCCAAGGATTATATAGATGCGTTGTAATCCGATTGGCCCGACGAATCGGCCCAATGGTTTGTTGCGTTGATCCGAACATTGGTTCGAAGCGCAGAAGTTGCGAACGATCTAATGCTGGAGACGATAAGCGCGGGAGCAAGGAAAAATCATCGAATTATGTTCTAAATTGCCGATGATTTGGGTCGCGTGTTGCAGATCCGATAAGATCCAGTGTAGATATGATTATGGGAGGATCCCGATTCAAAGCATTGTAAGAATACCCGAGACCTTGCAATTTGTAATGATCATGTTCCGATGATGGATACAATGTTCGGAATGCTGCAGATCCGCTACGAATCGCTTGACGCTTGATCGGGGGGGGCCTATGAATTAATCGAATAATTGTTGGACCTGGGCGATCCAACACACGACTAAGTCAAGGTATCCCCCTAAGGGCTACCTTTCGCGATCGATATATATATATATATCTATACCTGAGAAGGGAGGGAGCGAAAATTAGCCCTTCAAACAGACCATAAACATAGTCTTTCAATATATTTTCTTTATAGCCGCTTGCGGGAACCACCAGAAGATATCATTTCTTTATTGGCGCCTTTTTTTGTCTTCCCCGATGCCGTATCGCGGTCAAAAGGGGTACCACCCCAGGATCACATTTTTAGCTACTTGGGGGCCAAGCACTCCTTCATTGTCGCCACAGACCACAAATATAGTCTTCCAATGTACCTTCTTTACAACCAATGTCCTTTTATTAATATACTTTTTGTCTTGCCTCAAATCGTGATAAACCGATCAAATAGGGCACCATCACTGGACCACACATACCCTTCCAACAAATCGGAAAATTTGTTTTCAACATAATAATATAAATATGTAGGGAATCCTAATTAGAATATAAAAGATAATACATCTTTAAAGATGCCCTTTTTGTCGTCACCAGAACTATAATAAAACGATCAAAAGACCCCACGACTAAATCACATATGCCTTGGAAAAAAACACATATAAATATAATCTTTCAATAAATATTATTTAATATTATTTCGGAAGACTTGGCTAAATCCAAGAAATAGCCCTCCTCTATAAATACCGAAATACGTTGTCGTTAAAAAACAACAATATCGACAAATAACGTTTTACCTAAACCGATAAATATCTATATGAATAATTTAATATATTTACGACAAATTATTTAGCAAAGGATACGACATTATAAATGCTTCTATTTTTGAAAATGATAATGCATTCATCAAAAACGATAATATATTCAAAATATCATATTTAATTATAGGAAAATTTAGATTTCATAGTTGCAATACAGATTTTAATCATAGGGAGCTAAATCAATGCCCCACTTATATCTAAAATATATCTTCTAAATAATTCAAGATATAATCAACTACGATTACTATTATTACTTCTATTATTATTATTGCTATTTCTGTTTCTACTACTATTACGATTTCTATTACTTCTATTCTATTGCCACTACTACTACTATTACTACTACTACTACATACTATTGCTACCACTACCAACACGACGACCACTACTAATACTACTCCTCCTCTTCCCGCTACTGCCACTACGATTGCCATTACCATTGTCACTACTCCTATTACTACTATTATTATATATTACTAATATCACCACTATAATTATTACTACTATTGCCACTAAAAACAACTAATATTATATGTAACAATATCATCACTACAGATAATACCCACGATCTTATCACCCAAAAATATGTTTAACCATCGTACATTTACTTCCACATGCAAGAAACATCTACCGCATTGTAAAATGAATCTATAATATAAGAAACATCAAAAAATAAGAAATAACAATATATTCATTATATTATAAGATAACAACACCCGCATAAAAAATAAATAAAAACACTAAAAAATATATAATATATATTTCAATTGTCTAAACAATTTGCAATATATCAATTATATTTCATTTTTGATTTATTACGAACGAAAAATTAACCAATTTCTAAATAAAATATCTATATCCTATTCGTTATATTTAATACAAATAATACATTATTCAATATATTTATCATCATTCGCATCACCAACGCCCTTACCAACCCGCATTTTAACTACATATTAATTATACCAACAACATTTCTTTCTATCCCCCCACCAAATTCTAAATTCACCCTCCGGAAAAACGCACCTCGCAACCACCGCCCCCACACCCCCTAATATTCATTTCGTTTGCCCATCAAGCACTCCAGCCCAATCTCTCGGCTGGCTTTCATAATGTTTTTCTTTTTTATTAACCGGAAAAAAAGAGGACGAAAATCAACGAGAAATCAATATGGTAATACAAGATTGGGAAGAAAAATTAGCGGCACACTTATTGTTAAAAATGTCTAGCGCAGTGCTTATTAAAGCGTCCCTTTAGATAATCTATTTAGAAACCTTTAAAACTAAATATTTATAAAAATCCTTTTAATAATTTATTCAGAATCCTTTAAAACTAAATATCAATAAAGATCAAAAGAAAGATACCAAAAGATAGATTTTTGTTATTTTCAAATATGTTTCGAATATCGTGTATCAATACGAAACCCTATAAATAATAAATTAATTTGCTTCTTACGACACCTTCTAAAACATTCCTTATTAGTGTTTCTTTTTTAAATATCAAAATAATAATGTCCGAAATAATTTTTATAATTGTATTAAAAGATATTCTATATATCGTATATTAATATAAAATCCGATTAAACAATATTTTTATCCCCAAACCTCTGCTTCGTCCAATTAAACAAATTCATATCGTCCGCTCCCAAAATATTCATTCTTAATTACTTAATCGTTCTTAATATATTCAAAATTATATAATCCCTATACCCTATTTTAGATTCAAAATATGGTTTCCAATTTTCCTTTATGATGCTAATAATGCATTATTCAAAATATATTACATCATTCGTATCCGTTTCTAACCCCCATAAATTCCGAATTCATCCTTTCAAACAAATGCCTTTTCGCGCCCTCGTCCTCCTCCCCATTAGATTTGTTTTAATATATATTTTTATATATTTTTTGATATATTGCGATAATGACATATCATATTTTATTATATTATATTGATATATTGTTATGTCATCAAGCCACCATGGTTGTGTTTGGTGTGCGCTGTCATATCCAAAATCGACAATGTTGTGCTTTGGGGATTTTGCGTTGACACATCACCATGTTGCCATGCTGATATGCTGACATGTTGTCACGCTAACATGCCGACACGTTGTCATGCTGAGATGCTGTAGTCGGGTCATGCTGTCGTGCTGAGAGGATCCACAAAGGGTTCCGGAGCTTGTTCCCTGCTTCTTGCTTGTTGGGGTGTTGTCATGCTTGCACACACACACACACACATGGGTAGATGTGTCGGTGATCTGTCGGTCCGTGTGATGCACATGTGCTGTATTGTAATGCCAGCAATGAAACATTGAAAGGGCTCATATGTTTGGAAAGCAGCACTGTCTGGCTAAGACACAACACTTGTTGGTGATCTTGCGTTGCCGTTGCCTTACAGGTGCATTGCCCAGCTTTTGGGACTTCTTTTGTTCCTGGGTTTCTTTTATCAATTGAAATCAATTCATTCCTGATGTTTACCTCTTTCAAAGGATTTACTATCTTGTTGATTCAAGACCTTCGGCCTCCAAGATATCGTTATCATTGCAACTATGTGCAGTTTGGTGAAACTATCTATCACGAAAAAACAACGCCCGAAAAAGATTCCTACTCCATGCCCCTGAATGTCTCTCAGTCATGCTCAGTCGGACTATTTACAGCGTCCTTGGCCCACTCTGTGACTCACAAGAAAGGCATTCAACTGGAATTTTCACAACTACAGTAGTGCCTTAGAATTCGGCCCTTGAGGGCCTTCAGTCCTGAGACTTGAGGGGTTGCGCCTGGAATGGAAGAGACATGCAATTGGTGAGCCAAAGCCAGGCAACGGCCTGCACTCCGCATCAATGGCTGCTCCACCACCTCACACTGTGCCCACATTAATGTGTTGGAACAACCTTAAAAATCCCTGAATCTATTCTTGAAGAAATGTATTTGATTGAATCAATTTGACATAGTGCCCGCTCTTCAGTCCCTGAACAAATTGAACCAGGTGCGATGCCCATGTAGAGCTCTGGCCTGACATGAGTAAAAACATGACAACTTTTGGCTTGCGCGAATGTGTCAATGGCAGCCTTTGGTTCTGCGACTGAACCAAAGGAGGCAAGCTCACACCTCATCCAAAGCACGGTTCCCAAAGTCGTGGACAAGTGCAACTGTATCTCAGATGAGCACGGTCACTTCTTTCTCCAGTATCTGAACCAAACGAGGAGCGCCATGTTCCTGCTGTGGTCGAAGCCTCTCAGGCATGCTGCCAACAAAACAAGAAGTGACAAAGAAATTTGATGGACAGCACCTGCGTTGTTCTCAGATCCGGTGTGCTCTTGGAGACCTTTGGAACATGATCAAACTTGCTCAAGCTGCATTCTAAATGTTTTGCAAACTGATGTGGCCCGTTGTAAGCTTACAAAGACCTGGACCATCCGCTAAGGCTATGCTGCAAAAAAGAAAAGAACAACAAAGATAAAATCACTAAAGAAATCCAATAGAAAGCCAAAGAAACACGCTTGGTTTGGTATGGTAGTGTTTGCGCGACCATCAAGGCAAATGCGGGCATGGCAACTGCTTGGCCCTCTGCCTCAAGCATACCGTGGAAGCAAAGCTGTCAGTGCGATGATGTGCGATGACAGGTGGTGCGTCAGCCGCCTTCTCTGCATTGAAGGTGTCGCCAGCCGTTGGGCCATCCGAATCGGGCCTTTACAGTTGACAAATCTTCAAACGAGCATCCTTTACAGTGGCATCAGTAAGCCAAACACTCAAAGCAGGATGGTGGACGCGGCATGAAGACCTCATGCACGGACCTTGCGAGCTATTGCAGCTATTGCTAACATGAACAAAGGAATCACATCAAAGAGCAACCTTTTCAGCGTCAAACATATATAGTTTCTTGATAGCTTGTCTATGCTTGTCCTTACTTGGCAACCCAACCTCTTTTCCTTGGGCTCGACTTTCAGCCTGCTCATGGTTCTAAATTTGAGGCAAAGCAACGCACAACTAAACAACATGTTGGTACTATACGTACAACCAAACGCAAAGTTGGCAATGGCACGATCTACTACAAATGACATGAAGGTTCTTAATTACCCTCCAAAACTGCTCCTTCAATTATGTTAATTATCAACTGTGCCACTGTGCCAGGAGTGGATGAAATTGGGCGCAATAGTACAATTGTTGCACAACAATATCGTCGCCTCCGCACCCTTGGATCCCCGAGGATTCTGAAAACGTGACCTGTCCACAGCTCGCGTTGGCAGAGTTGTGGCCACGCCCAAGGCACCAAGGCATCATTTTGCAACACAACCTACTAGCGATGGCCTCGTGAATTCCTCGAATAGGCACCAGTACACGGTACACTGGGGGGCGTGCCATATGTTTTGCAAATGTCTGATGCTGGTCTTGGCACCTCAGTGTCGAGTATCAAATTCAATAACTGTCCCGGTCCCTGGAAACAACCTGATCAACATTGCAAAGGCTGACAGCATCTGCCCAGCTCAATCTATAGACTTAGCCCGTGACATATGGCAACAATTGCGAATCTGGAACGTCTTTACCAAAATCCTGAAACAAAAAAAGAAACAAACTAGATAAGAAACGGGTACAAAATGGTACAAATCTGCTAGACATGAAGCTCGCCAAAGCCTCACGATCAACAAAGCTGTAGCCCAAAAACCTGCAGCGATCCACACAAACTGAGTGTCCACAAAAGAGAAGCATAGCGGCTGTGAGGACACCCCGCTTTGCGATTGGCTGCGGCTGATTGCGGACCGCCAAATATGACCTGCGAAAAGGAGGAACACAGTGGACCAAAGTTGGAACACTGTCTGTTTTCATGCTAAACATTCAGGAAAACTACTATTCATCTGTCCATCCCCAAGGCCAAACATGGAACATCGGATGATGGCACCTACCAAGCAATGTAAAATGTATTGTACTTTACATCAGGTAGCTATGAGAGAAGACCTTTTTTATGGATCATCATTCCATTGGATTTGAAGACTACCCGTTCGTCCTCTTGCGGTCGAAGGCCTTTTCACTCTTCGGAGAAGAAGGAGGCTTGTTTCTTGATGACAATTAAACACCAGAAAATGGCCAAGGACAAACGACGCCAGGACCATCTTTTACAATCTTTTGCGCAGCTGGTCTCTCTGTGAGATTCATAATTAGCCTTACACTGCCTTACATATTAGCAGTAATTATATAGTTGCATTTATTTTATCAGATTTCTCTTGGAACCTTAACAAATTGACACACCACAAATATGCCTGTCCACCTGCCTCTCACAACTCCCTGCCTCTCAGGTGAGTGGCTCCGTACACGCTTCTTGCTGTCGCTGGAACCAGCACGTCGCACCTTCCAAAAGCGAATTTCACATTGGTTTCTTCTCACATCACGACGGGCAAAGGAAAAACATTGCCTTCTTCTTCCGGAGCTTCTTTTTGGCTCTTGTAATCTGCCAACGCAATGTGAAGTTTACGTTCATGCCTTCGTGCATTCCCTCATAATACTTGACCGCACATGCCTCTTCGTTGGGATTGATATTCGGATCCACTTCGACCTCAAACCCAAAGTTCAGATTGTGATATGTACCCAGAAGTCAAAAAGATCCCAAGAGCGCAAAAAGCTGCAGGCATGCTTTTTCCAATGCGCTTTGGTTGATGCTGGGGTCCTCCCCCAGACCCTGTATCGTTTAGTCCATTTCAAACTGCCCTGGACTTCGCCAGGGGGACAAGGGTGTGTCAGGCAGTAGGATTCGCCCGTCGCTGCCACAACGCCCGATTGTCCCCTGGCCTCCCAGGGCCAACAGGCACCTGTCGAGGTGCCAGGGGCCCATGGGGTCCCTGGGTGCTCTGCTGTCATTGTCCGTGTCAAGCTGTTCCTCTGTTGTGTTGGCCGGAAGGCCCCACACTTGTTGCTCACTGCGCCCACTCACTGGCCTCGGGGCGTTGGGCTTGGGGAACCAACGGAGGATGCTCCAGGTGCGGCAGTTGGGGCCGCCCCCAACGAATAAAAGTAGTCCCGCAGCGGCCAGGGAGCACAGGCGGTTCCAGAGGGGGGGTGTCTCGTCGAATGTCAATCGCCCAGACCAGGGGTGAGAGGTCTGGGCATGTGGCATGGAGGTAGGAGTCCAAAGAGCCCGCGTCATCCTTTCCGGCATAGAGTAGAAGAATGGTTGGTTTGGCCTCTGGTGGAAGTGGGACCCGCGTCCAGTGAAGACGCCGCCGCAATCTGTCCGGGATGTCGGTCATCCAAGTGAAGGCCGGTTCCACCTGCCCCGGCGGGTGCCCAGCCGGTCTTTGGCAAGAAGCCATTTCGCCAGTGGGCATAGAGGTGGCCTCGCTGGGCCCCCAGCAGCGGGTCGAGGCTTTGGTTCACTGGGAGGTGGTGTAGGGGGTACAGGGCCCAAGGCACCTGGACCATTCCTAGCCTCCCAGTGAAAGTCCACTTGCGGTACCTCAGAGGACGCAGGTGGAGCAGGGCCACGGGCACCTGGACCAACCTGGCGTCACTTGGTGGCATGGGGGCATTCATCTGGGGTGTGCTTGTCCGGGGACGCGTTGCACACCCAACCCCCTTGACGGACTGGGCAATTGTGGGATCGGCCGCAGCTGCCCGGGCAGGTGCCTGTCCTTTGCCCTTCTGGCTTTTGCCTTTACCACCCTTCGGGGCTGGTCTTGCCCCCTTGCGGCCTCGGTCTTTGCCGCCCTTTGCCGGCTTGTCCCATTGGGTCTGCCAGACCTGGGTCCAGGGCTTTCCTCTGGGCAAGACCAGCCCCTTCACCGCAGTTCGTGGTGCACTGCTGCAGTATTCATACACCTCCCTCTGCCAGAAAAGGTGGTCATGACGGAGCTTGGAAAGGGCCTCAGTGAGTGGTGTACCGGAGTGGACCAGGTCATGAATCTTGCGCCATGCGTTGCGCCCTGCGAATTGGAGCACTCGTTCCGAGGGGGGGGGTTGGCGACCCGCGATGTCCTCCCCATAAAACCACTCATACCATTCATCCAGAGTCTCCTTGGACAGTCGCAGGTGGGCGAATTGCGGCTGGCCCGCAATGCACATCAACAGGGTGGTCCTAAACACCGTGTGCATTCGCTCCAACTGTCGTCGGGTCCGGGGATCCGGTCGGGTCCTCTTCATCCGCCCGGTCCCAGCCATCCACCGACACCTTTCGCGTGGTTTTGACGGGGCGTTCCCCGTCCTCCGGAAGGGCCCCGACAATGCGCTTGGCCTGAATGTAGCCAAGTTCCCTGCCGCGATGTGCTTGAATTGCCGTTTGAGGTAGGCATCACTGCCCTGGGATTCAAGCCTCGGTTTGAGGCAGCTGTAGGAGGCGGTTTCCAGGACCCTCCGGTCGCAAAGGCTGTCCAGAGGGCCTTTGCCTGTGCCTGGAGGTTCTATGGCGGTCGCTCGGCCTACATGGAGTTGTGTCTGGGCCATGGACTTAGCGGCCCGGACCGCCTGTAACAGGCGCATGGCAGTAAACCTGGAGGAGGCTTCGTCGAAGTTGTTCTCCCCATTCCGGAACTCCAGGTCCCGGGGTCCTTGGGCCCGTGCATCCTCCGGGGTGTTCCAACGGTCCCCTAGGTCCTCCACTGTCACGTAACCCTCCTGGGCCAGTTTTGCCTGAACCACCCAGGGAATCTGTTTGGCGACCAGGATAAGAGCAAGCGGTTTCGTCAAGAGGTCAAGATGTGGTTGGAGGGCCTCCGGTGCCTCCGTGGGGGGTTTGGCTGGTTCCGCTGGGGGGGCGCCCCCTGCCCCCCCTCCACCACCTGCACCGCCAAGGGGTGCTGCCATCAAGGGCGGGTTGGGTGGGTTTTCTTCCCAAACTTCAGGTGCAATCCTGCGTGTGATTGCCACCAACTTGAGCCAAAATGTCCCGGTGGGACATTTTGTGAACTTCAGTGAACATAAAACTTGCATCCGCAAGCTACCTGCAAGTGTGAATACGTACCCAGAAGTCAAAAAGATCCCAAGAGCGCAAAAAGCTGCAGCATGCTTTTTCCAATGCGCTTTGGTTGATGCTGGGGTCCTCCCCCAGACCCTGTATCGTTTAGTCCATTTCAAACTGCCCTGGACTTCGCCAGGGGGACAAGGGTGTGTCAGGCAGTAGGATTCGCCCAGTCCGGAGGTCTGCCTGGCACACCAGGCAGGCCGAGGTGTGTGGCCTGGGTCCCTGCCCCTCTCCCGACACCATTCCAGGGCCAAGGGGCACCTGGCCGGTGGCTCAAGGCTGAGAGGTGGTCGAAAGCAAAGCGCCTCAGATTGATTCAACTGGGAGCACCTTCGGTAATGGTACGGCATCAGCTTCCGACTGGAGTCATCCGTCTCGGAACCCGACGGGCCGAGCTTTCCGTGTCAACCTCAAGATCAGGGATGTCCTTCCCCTCCACTGTGCCAAGACGGCTCACAAACCACGATCTTTGGCAAAACACCGTGCGCACTTGCCGTAGCCCATTGGGTTGGCCCAGTACTCCCCGGGTGTCAGCACTGTCATCTGGGTGCTTCTGGGGCGCCAACCACAGCCCAAGCAGAACCCCTCCACAGTGAGGAGGTGTACACGAAATTGCTTCTCCGGGCCCCGTACCGTATTCGAGCTGATCACCTGGTAGGAGTAGTCCTGGTCCGCTGGGTCGCCCTCTGGGGGCGGATCGCTGGCCTGGGCAAGGAAGTGACCTAAGCCATTGTCTGCTCCCTCCACAATATCCCACGAGTCAGTGGTGCCCAGGGTCACCTGGTCGGGTTGTGGGGAGCCCTCTCCCACAGGTGGGGTGTCAGCCATGGAGCGTCGTGTGGACCGAGGCGGCGATCCCGGGCGCCGCTCGTCTGCATCCACCACCTCTGTCACTGGGTCATCCCAGTCCCCGTGGTTGAGGTCTTCCCTGCGTTCACGGCCCAGCGTCATCTTGAGGGAGTTCACATTGTCCGCCACCTTGGTCCAGATGGCGGTGACAACATTCCGTTTCTCCCGGGTATAGACATCAGCAGTCGACTCAGTCATCCAGTTTCCCAGGTACTGCCGTTCCGAGCGGGGAACCCCAAGCTGGAAGGCACAGTCCGGAATGAAGACCCGGAAAGAGTGCCAAGTGAGGGGCGTAACATGCTCCTGGGCCACCCCCCGACGTCGGAGGGCGTCTTTGAGCCAGCGTAGGGCTCGGTCACCTCCCGAGGGGCGCGGGATCCCCCAAGCGCCGCGCCTTCCTCCAGCGCCCAGATCACTTCTCGTGAAGGGACTGCAGCCTTCTTTTGGGGGCGAACCACCGTGGGAGCAAGCTCCTCCTCGAGGGCCTTCTTCTTGGTGACCAAACGCTGGTGTTCATCCACGTTGAGGAGGCCAAAGATCTTGGACAACCAGTTCACGGTCTGCCAAATCTGTTGGAGTTTGTAGGGTGAGATCTCATCCGCCTGCAGCCTGTTCAGCAGGGCCCGGACGTCAGACTCCCTCCAGAAAATCGCCGCAAATCCTCGCTTGCGGAGGTTCTCATAGACCAGGCAGTGCTGCCGGATCGAGCGGAACCTGGCATCCCCCAGGAGGTGCTTCAGTTCCATGCGGAAGTCGGAGTCTCGCGTGACCGCCTCCAGGTTTGGGAGGTGTTCCGCATAGGGTGCGAAGTGAGCAGTGAGGTGTTCGGCCCATCGGCTCCTTAGATGGAGTCCCAACGCCCTCTGGGTAGTAGGTTCCAGAGTGGCCACCTGTCCGGGGCGCCAGTGCCTCCATTTGAGGAGCTCCGGTTGGAGCAATGGAGGGGGGCTCTTGCGATTGCGCCATGTCTGCATGTCTCGCCGGTCATAGGTGTACTGGAGAGGGCCGTAGGTGGTGGACATGGGCCCCTGAGTGACCTTAATCAGCAGGTCCCACAAGGTAGATCTGATCATTTCCAAGTCATCCTGGTCCACTGGTGCCCTTGCCGGGGGCGTCAGAGGCAAAGAATCCGCCGCCATGGCATCTACCGGGTCACTAGAATACCCTGCAGGTGCAGGGGGCGTGAAACCTAAACCCGCTCGCTCAGTGGTGTCCTCCTCCATCTGGTCGACAGGTGCCGCAGGGCGTGGCTCAGCCGCAACAGGCCAGGCCAAAGGGGGTTCCGCCATGGTCGCCAACATGGAGGGCTGGTCCGCTGCCGCCAATCGTGTAGCAGGGCTCGTCGACGAGGCCGCCTCCGCCGGGCCACACCAGGAGCAGAAGGGGGCTGGCCAGCGCCGCCATCCGCCGGGTCCTCTAACCCCAGGAGGTCCACACCCATGTCCACGTCTTCGCGCTCTGCAATCTGGAGCTTGAGAGCTTCCAGGTGGCGCTCCAACTCTCGAATCTTCGTCTGAGCATCCAGCTCAGAAACCAAAACGGGCTGGCCGAACACGGCTAAGCCTCTCGCTCCTTCCGCCTCCGCATGACGGAGGGCTGTGGATGCTGCGTCCGCAGCCGCATCCAAACTCTCCATGCCCGGACTACTGATTGTAGTGCCATCCTCAACGTCCGGCTGAGCATCTCGCACGGACTCAATCATGACATACTCCGGTTCCATTGGGTGCGCCATTGCGTCGTCGTCAGAAATCACCAATGTACTAAGGAGTTTTTCTTCCCAAACTTCAGGTGCAATCCTGCGTGTGATTGCCACCAACTTGAGCCAAAATGTCCCGGTGGGACATTTTGTGAACTTCAGTGAACATAAAACTTGCATCCGCAAGCTACCTGCAAGTGTGAATATTGACTGACGTGCAGGCAACGTGTCCCCTCAACAAAACAACGCACCATCGCGCTGCTCACGCGCGCACGCGATCAATGAAGGTTGTAGAAATGGATGACCCTCTTGCGAGTTCGATGACCCACCTTGTAAAACTGTCACCATGATACTAATATTACGAGTCCAACAAACATGCAACGAGGTAAACAATCACGCCAAGAACGCCTAGCGACGACCTTATTTAAGAACGGTGAATAGCAAACTTGCGGTCTCTTTTTTCGGGCGACGGAACCTTCAAGCTTGTACCAAGGTCGCAACAAAGTTCCGCGTCAATGCTGATGCAAAAGCAACCGAATTTTCTGGATGTGGGCTCGAATCCTGCCACAAAGACTTGATCGATGCAAAACACTGCCCTTGGCATTTGATGACGGCCCCCAAACAAAACTAAAATGCCTGTTGCTTCAGCTTTCCAGGTGAGGATGTCCTTGCGTCCGAAAAGAACCCCGACAAACACAAGATTCCGCTGACTCAGCTTGCCTCGTCTTCGGGGAGTTTCCTTGCTCTGTACTTGTTCCATCTTCAGCCTTCCAAGAACCCAAGGAATTCATTTTGTTCGCCATGTCGCAGCTGCGGTCCTGTCCCTCCTGATTCCGGTCATCCTTTTGAGCAAACTTGTTGGGGAATTAGTTGTTTGATGTCGCGTGTGGCTGTTGCACTGTAAAATATCGGATGTGTTGATAAACCAATTGTTGTATCCGAGTCTGTGGTGGTTGTCTGTGCACTCACACACGCACACACACTCGGGAAATTTGAAATTAGACGTGCGATCTGGAACCGTCATGCCAAACCTAGGTGAAAAGGGATTGAGTAAAAACATGTGTTCTACACAACTTGCAAGCCTAAGTGAAAAAGGGCCCGCGCACAAAACCTTTGCTCAGGACAACTTCTGTTCAGCACAACTTTCACGAATACAACACTTTAGTGGCGCATCTTGAACGTGTTCAAAACAACTTTCACAAACGCAGCGCTTTAGTGGTGCATCTTGAATGTGTTCACCGGCGCCGCACTTCATAGGTAGGAAACCGCCAGAAATTAGTCAAAGCAAGTACGCTTCCACGAATCTTGATGAGATTTGATGAGCGTCTTTTTAGCGCAGGACTCATCAAGATTCATCAAGATTCCCTGCGCTGCCTGTTTTTAAAGAGAAGCCAGCGGGCCACCCTTGATTCCAGGGTGCACACACGCCTTCCGAAGGGAGGCAAGTATTCAGCCTCCATCCTGCCCGGAAAGGACGCGCCCCCATCCTGCCCGGAAACGGGGTTTGCGAGAGCACATGTGCACCAAATGAGCAGGAAGGTGTGTGGTCGCCAACGACGGAAGAGGGACAACCCATGAACCAAACCCGCAAGCAGGCTGGGTCGGCATCGCTAGTAGGGTGGTAGTCATTGCAAAACATTCAAGGTTAGAGGGCGGAGGCCATCACAACAAGGTTGGAGGCCCACGCTACAGGCTTGGAGCCACAAAACACAAAATTGTAAACGCAAATTCAACAAAAAACAAATAATTCGTGCTGAAACACTAACTAAATCTACGAAACATCTGTTTATGCCCACGCACCACCCAAACCGGATAGCTACAAGCACAGCTACCAGGCATGGGGGCACGCGCCGGGGCAACCGGCTGTTAAGGGATACAGCGCAAGTGGAAATGCCATAGCTTCGTTGGTCAGTTGAATGGTCACTTGAAAGATTCAGTGAGCCCGGCAGCCTCGAAGCAGTTGATTCGCGCAGACACGGGAAATGAGTGAGATAATCCCCGACACAAGACTGCGGAGCTGTTAGTGAAAATCCTCGGCGACTCGGTGGTTTCAGCGCCCCCTTGCGGGGGATCAGGCTATGCACCCGAGTGAGAAAGCGTAGCAGGACACACTTGGACAGAGTTTCGCCCAGTAAGATAATCCAGGGATAAATGAGTGCGAGAACTGCAAGAATGCTGAGTCAACCTGAAGGTTTTTGAACAAAAGTTTCAATTTGACTGCAGAAAGCGATGGGAAGATTAGCGCGGGCTGCAGATTCCGAGCGGTTGCAAGCAGCTGGAAAAGGGTGTGGGGAATAGCATGAAGGACAATGAAATTCAAAGAACAGCGCCGGAAAAATTGGAGTGTTGTGATCTGCAGGTACAAGTGGTTGATCAGACCACTCATCCACCGAAATGCCATAGCTTCGCTGGACAATCGGCTCCAGTCCCCCTGCGTTTCTGGTATGATGTACAGTCCCTTGGTCACAGGGTAGGACACACACACACACCTTTCACAAAAAAATACGGAACAACAGATTTAGACTGATGTGCGTGTGTGCGTGCAAAAGAGACAAGCGGATGAGGACATGACAAGTGGACAAAAACAGACCGGGTGTATGTACTTGCGATGAAAAGGAACCAAGTGACCAGGAACAATCAGATGAGCCAAGCCTCATTATAACAACCTGGGCAACCTCAGGCCTGGGTTCTGGGTTCAGTGTACGAGCGCAAGTGTACGCTAAGGGACACACCAAGAGAGAAAGGGATGAGATGACAAGACATGAAGACAGAAAGGACATGAAAGAAAGAGGGGAAAGAATGTATGTACGGGGAAACATGAAAAGGGAAAACCACATGGAGGGGCCTGAAAAAATGACACCGAGCCTCATTAAAGGATCTAGGAGCACCTAACCTGGCTTTGTAGGTGCATGCTGTGTGTGCATTTATGGCTGGGTCTTGAACGAGCTTCGGTCGCTGCGACCACCTCATGGCAATATGCCGACTGCTGTCCGCTGCAAACACCTCTTGGCGTGCCCGGAGGCAGCCTACTTGGTTTCAATAATTCATCCGGTCTTACTTGACGTTTGCGCCAAGGCTCCTTCTATCCGCTCTGGACACCTCCGTTTCCGAGCAGTGGAAGCATAGAGATACCCCTGCTCGGCAGGGCCACGGGGGCACTCGTCGGGCTCACCCCCTCAAGATATTGCGTACTGAAATCGAATGCCACATGCCACTCGCCCACCTAGGTATGAAAGCCTAAGAAGTCAGGGTAGAAGTAGGTTAGAGGCTATATCTAGATTGGAGGCCATCAGCAGGTTGGGTGGCCATCGCTAGTAGGTTGGCTGGTAGTCATCGCTAGTCGGTTGGTTACATGCAACTGCAAAACATTCAAGGTTGGAGGGCATCACTAGTAGGTGGAGGCCATCACAACCAGGTTGGAGGCCCACGCTACAGGTGTGGAGGCCCACAAGACACAAAACTGTAAAATACTGTAAACACAAATTAAACAAAAACAACACACCATTCGAGATGCATGCTAAAACACTAAATCTACGAAACATGTGTTTATACACCACCCAGCTACAAGCACAGCTACCAGGCATCGGGGCACGCATCGGGGCAACCGGCTCTTAAGGGCTATAGCTGCTCACACGCAAAATCAAAAGATTCCTTGTGATTCCAAGGGTTCCACACACACACACACACTCTCGTGTGCGCAAAGGGCAAGCTTGCTCTTCGATCGAGTGCCTTGTGTTTCTTCTTTGCATGTTTCTTCTTTGCAGCCTGTTCACTCTTGGCATTTCGCAGGAAGTGAGTCTTCAGTATCTGTAGGAGCGCGTCAAACATGTCAAACCCATCGTTGTACATGATTGCCATAGGCTTGAGGCCTCATCTTTGGGGCTGTCATCTGCCTGGCAGGCATGACTTGATTTGCCCGAAGAACCAACAACTACTATCCATATCCAAAAGTTGAGTCAAAATCAGTTAAAATGCCTCCCTGGATGAAGGTGGTGTGCGCCTGAAGAACTGCGCTGCTTCTGTCCGACTGTGTCCCAGAGAGATTTTTTCTCATGATTTCTCAATTGCAAAGGCTGTGAATACGTTGAGAATGCTTTGTTAAGCAAATGACGCTCTTCCAGCTGCTTTTGCTGCAGCGTTGGCTGCCCTTGCCTGCGACTCAGACAGAAAAGCAATCTAGAATCCAAAAGGCCACAGAATTTCACATGCACCAAACAATGCAAGCAGCCAGAAGCAATCTACCAAGAAGATGCACCAATGAGCAGTTGGGGCAGAAAAGGAATTTTGGAATGTGTGCTCTTGTGGATTCTTGTGTACCTCCTTCCGCTCTTGAGGTGTTTGGGCACGACCAGCTGACCCCTGCAATGAATGGAAGAATCACGCGTTGAACAACGTATTGACAAATGTGTCACATGACACACAACACTGACTTGCAGAATTCTAGTGAGAACAATACACTGCTTGCCACTGGCACTGGGCCTCCCTTGACTGAGGTGATCCTGGCGGAGAGAGCCTTATACAAGAAGAATTCACATGGTCACTTGGTCTCATTCAGTTGATTGAGAACTGCAAAGGCTACGAGCACTCCGAGAATGAACTGGGCAAATGACGCCTTTCCAGCTGCTTTTGCTGCGGCTTTTGCTGCCCTTGCCTGCGACTGAGGCAGAAACACCTAGAATAAGGCCACAGAATGCCACATGCGCCTAACAATGCAAGCAGCCAGAAGCAATCTACCAAGAAGACTACTGCACCAATGAGCAGTTGGGGCAGAAAAGGAATTTTGGAATGTGTGCTCTTGTGGATTCTTGTGTACCTCCTTCCGCTCTTGAGGTGTTTGGGCACGACCAGCTGACCCCTGCAATGAATGGAAGAATCACGCGTTGAACAACGTATTGACAAATGTGTCACAACACTGACTTGCAGTATTCCAGTGAGAACACTAATGAACTGCTTGCCACCGGTACTGCGCCTCCCTTGGCTGAGGTGATCCTGGCGGAGAGAGCCTTATATAAGAAGAATGCTTCGCTTGGTCGCATTCAGTTGATTGAGAACTGCAAAGGCTACGAGCACTCCGAGAATGAACTGGGCAAATGACGCCTTTCCAGCTGCTTTTGCTGCGGCTTTTGCTGCCCTTGCCTGCGAGTCAGGCAGAAAAGCCTAGAATCTAAAGGCCAGCCAAGAGTGCACCTCCTTCCGCTCTTGAGGTGTTGGGGCACGACCAGCCGATCCCTGCAGTGGATGGAAGAATCACGCGTTGAACAACGCGTTGACAAATGTGTCACATGAAGTAACAGCAATGCACCACAACACTGACTTGCAGTGTATATACCTGTTGAACCTCACAAGTTCGCATACTCGAATTAGAGACCGGTGTGCATGAATGCGGGAACAATCTAAGACTTTTTTGTGAATTGGCATTTGTCACGGGGCACAGCAGCGGAGGATTTGGCTTGAACAAGTCCCCTCATCAACTATGACTTTGAAGCAGGTACTGGGCCTCTCTGGATAGAGACGGAGAAAGCCTTGACAAAGGCAGCCACTCACGACTCTCTTTGTCCCGCTCAGTTGCTTCTGACTTGCAAAGGCTCTGGACATTGGCATGCTGAGAATACACGTGCTCAGCAAATGACGTCCTTCCTGCGGACTTTGCTGCGGCTTTGGCTGCCCTTGCCTGCAACCAAGGCAAACAAGAGCGGAATGATGAAGTTTATTACTCGTTTGCCGTTTGCACCTACAAGCTACCCGGCTTGCCTCCTTCCTCTCTTGCTGCGTTTGGTGGCGGCTACCCGGCTCCTGAAGCACCAGATTCTCTTGCTGCAGCCTTCTTGAGGGTACAAACAGTGTCTGCGGCGGGAAGGAATGATATTGGAACAAACAACAATACAAAATAATACAAACTAATACAAACAACTACTTACCACTGCTTCAAACGACCCAAAGCTTTTGAAAGTCTGCTGTGCTTGGCCCCACCTTCCCAGTGGACACAGGCTCTTCCTGTCCAGGCTGTTGCGGCAGCTCCGGCCTTGGAATCTGTGGTCCGACCGTCTTAGGCAAGCTCTGTTTCACTTCCTCCGTCCTTTCCCTCCTTTCCCTCTCTTCCAAAGCAATCGAAACAATCAGGAGATATCAAGCCAAGCAACTCTGTCTCCTCGCTGTACGAATCATCCTCGCGCTCATTGGTCCTCGGGATCGGAAGTCGATCTACTCTCCAACCATGAGCGGTAAAATGTGCAAACTATGAGCGGTAAAATAGTTGAACGATGTTGAACAACACCAATAACCAATAAGGTTCAAAAGATTGGAAAGCACTCTGCATAAATCATTAGTACAGCTCAAAGCGCCTGTAGCCATCAACACTCCAAATTTCTGGTCAACAAGCTTCTTTGTAATGATTTTGTGACTAGTGGCGATGTCAGTCCAAGAAACCGTGGATCGATGCACAAAGGCAATTCCTTGAGCAAGGCCTGTTCTAATATGTTTTAATCTAGGTGTCAAACTCACCGGAGCCAGTCCTTACTGCCACACACTCAATACTCGACATGACTGGAAATGGCTTCAATCATGCAGCGAATCTTAGGCAAAAGTGGGTGGAAGCATTCTTGCGAATGCCAAAACCTAAGGCATCCTAAGGCATCGACGCTGAACTTCTTTTCTTCTTTCCTGATACCTGGTCGGCACGATGAAGTATTGCCATGGTATGCCATGGCATTGCCATGATTCAGAATCCTCAAGCCCCAGGCCTGGCTGGATGGAGCAGCCTGATTGGCCTGGCTGGCTTCTTTCTCTCTTTGCTTCTTCAACTTTAGATGCCTCACACAGGCAGTTTCAACTCGCTTTCCTTCAATCCAGTGCCCACTGGTTGCCTTACGTAGCCTTGAACGTCCGGCAGTGAGCCTAGCAGCTACGCACAACCAGCGCGGTTCCACAAGCACTCTAGATGGCAATGCCAACTTGTGATTTAGATTTGTCACGTTCCCCCAAACAAGCTAGCTCATCCATGACGAACTACCAATGCCAGGAGAAGCTGCCGTTCGATGATGAATGCTTCCTCTCAGAGCCCGGCTAGTGGGGCCACTGGGGTTTTGCAGACCCTGCAAAGCCACTTCACCCAAGGCCTCCGTTGCATTTTACACAAGTGCTTTGCACAGTATTGGCCAAGAATTAATTCCCTTGTCAGTGCAGCCATACGGAACATCTGTTAGCTGTTCCAGCACACCGTCGAGAATTGAGTGCATTTGAGTTGATGATGGATCATATTCATTGTTCAGCTGTGGTTTATCCAAGAGTACTGGCACTGGCACTGACTTAGACTTAGTGCTTCTCGACTCGAACGGCTGCTTTGCAATTGAACAGCAAGAACAAGTACGGCTGGACGCGGACCATAATAAACTGATGATCTGCACCACTCAATCTATGACATTGTGGACGGGCCTCTTGCACGGCCTTCGCCAGCTGTTCCTCCATGACCTACGCAAGTGTTTGTTGGCTCAAACGTCTACCAACAGGAACTCAACAATACGCGCAAGAAAACATTTCCGAGACCTACAAGTGAGGCAACCTTCCCAACAAAAAAAACAGATAAATGATAACATCCAAAAAGCAGGTTCATCAATAGCCAAAGAGAATGGGAGGAAATGTGCGTGTGTGTGCTTTGTCGTGTGAGAGGACAGGTTCTTGAAATTTTTGAGGCTTTGATTCCCCAACCACAGTGGTCACAATAGGGCTCACTAGGGGTTCCTACAGTAAGGGTACAAGTAAGGGCTAGGTTTGATCGAGGGCGTTCACGTCCCTGCGTGGATAATTCGCTGCTGTTTATGGTGCAGTCATGCCTCTCGAGATCATCCAAGTGAATTTCGACTATGCAGGCTTGCGCAAATTCGACGGTTGGAGCAGGTGCTTTCCCCGACTGCGGTCTCAGTGTGATACCGTGCGAACTTTCAGACTTGGTGATCACTTTTCGTGGCAGGCGCAGGGGAAATCTCGTGTTTTGGTGGTGCAAGAGATCGGAGCCGCTTTACTTCGATGTGCAGATTTCGTGGAGAACGCAGCGCTTTTTGACTTGGTGGTGGTCTTTGGTGTGCTCTGATTTCGTGCCAGCTGCAATGAATCGTGAGCTTTGGACATGTCGGTATTTAGGGGAAGCATCGCGCGAAAGCTGCGTTTTGGTATCTTGATGAGGCGATTTGGTGGCAGGCGCCTCAAAGTGCAAACTTCGTGGCACGCACAGCATTTTGTAAACCTCGAAGCGTCGATTTTGTGGCAGGCACGGCACTTTTTGAACATGCTGTAGCACTGTAGATTTCATTGCAGAAATCTGCGCTTTGTCAACCCGAAGTGGAGATTTCTTGGCCACCGCGCGGCAATCTGTGAACCTCTCATAAAATATGTACGCTCTCCTGTGTGCGCGCTCTCCTATGTGTGTTCTCATATGTCTGTTCTCGCAGATGCCGCACATGTGCTATTTTATGTATGTGCTCACTCGTACCAGTGTTCTCATATGTGTGGCCTCATGTGTTTGCTCACAAATGTGTGCTGTCATCCAGGTGTGCTGTGCTCTCATGTGTATGCTTACTCAAACCTGTGCCCTCATATGTGTGCTCTCGCGTGTTTGGTTACATATGTGTGCTATCATTTGTGTGTTCTGACGTCTGTGCTCTCATATGTGTGCTCATTCATATCCGGTATGCTCACATCATATGTGTGCCCCCAAACTGTGCTTTCTTCTACTCAACACTGTTCGGTGTCTCTTGCCGGGACAATGTTTCATGGTAGCCTGATGAGTCATGCTTGCACTTATCTTCGGGACTGAGTTCGAGGTTTGAAAATGAACTGGTGGCTGCCGACACTTCCGATTTCTGACCCATCACTATGATTATGATAGGATCACAATCAAAGTCGAACCGCGAAGCAGGATGCTGGCAAACCCCCAACAAACCGCGTTCTGTCTGCATTGGCCCAAGCGCAGCATTTCTGCTCGCAACAGGTTTTGCTTGTTTTACATCACCTCGTCACAAATGCTCCACCTTACACTACCAACATTGCACTTCACATCACGAGGCACCGCAAACTTTTCCTGACAGCAATCACCAGACATATTATCAAATCAATTGCACATCTTCCAATAGGTACATAGGGCATTTATGTGTTCAAACGTCTGCTCTCTGCCTCTGCCAAAAATGGAACGTATACAGAATCGGAAGAGAATCGAGAAAGCTTTGTCACCCGAGACAAAAATCAAATGTCAAGTTGTGCAACTTCTACGTATGGCCACTGTCAATTGACAACAGGAGTCAACGTCAAGTGCTTCTGGGAGAATTTGAATAGGAGTATCATTGAATCATCCTGTTTATGTCAATGCAATTTACTGCAAACTCCACAAACCACCAGAAACTGCGAAGCGAATCAAGCGCACCTCCTCGAACAGCTCCGACATCTAGGCAAAATGTGTTCATCAAATGTTGCAGTTGGAATGTTGACAGCACAAAAAGCCAATTTCAACATAGATAAGCCAATTCGCACTAAGATATGCTGATCCTGGGCTTGCTGACAGTGCCACGCAGGCCCGGGGCTGGCATACCGGTATCAATTGGAATACCCTGAGGAAGGCTGTCACGGCTATAGAGCTTCTCCGTAAGAAAAACTTTGACAAGGCACAAAATGGATCAACATGATTTTAAACATCAAAACTTGGACTCTCCATGACTCTCCTGATTTTTGGGAACGCGATGATGACTTGTAGACTACTTGTAGACTTGCAGTATCAAAGCTTCCGGCACTGCAATAGTCCAAAAGGTCTGAGAGGGTGAGCATGTGATGCAGGCGTTTGTCCAGGACCTGAGTCACTCCGCTCTGGTGAGATCGCGATCCTGAACTTGGCTTGGCTCAATGATACTTCCTCCTTTTTTAAAAGGGTGTTATATATATATATTATTACTTTATTGTTTATCTATTAATATTTCTTTTGAGAACTGCGGGGGTAGGCCGCTAGAGGGAGGTGGCTAGTAGTAGCTAACAGCTAACAAGTAAGCTCCTACCTACAAGTACGCTCCTGATATATGGTCATTGGCTCAATGGCTCCATAAACTCCGCTCCGTTTCACTCATCCACCGAAGTTTCGCTCTGAGACCTTTGCTGTGAAGATCTCCTGGATGTGTTGCCCAAAGGCAAAGTTCATTCTCTCTTCTCTGCTCAAGGATCGTTGTTTCAGGAAATTGCACCCCGCACAGCTGATGTTGATACGTCTCCTGGTGATCGTAATTGACGGTGAAGTCGAGCTGCTTTAGCCCCAAATCCCATTCTTCACCTTGTCAGAAAAAAAGAAACTTGGATCTGCAGTCGCTTGTTGCGATGGCTCTTGGCAATCCACGACTGAAGCGTCCATCTCCACTTGGGTCAAAGGTCGCTAAGGCTGCCTGGATCAAGGCTGCAATAGACAGCAGAAAACTTATCCTGAGAAAACCTCCAAAAACACACTTCCTGATCCGGTCGGAAGTTGAAGGTGATACAAGCTAGCAACGGTTGAATCTAATATACCTATAAATATTGTTTAATATTCCGTGTATATACAGTATATATAGAGTATATACATAATGTATATATAATGTGTACATATACACATTATATATACATACATTTAAATACAGTAGTCCTATTACCACCATGTATTATCATTGCAAGAGGTTGTTGGAACAACCATACTGTGACACACCAAGTACTTACCGCCTATATTATTTGGGCAACTTTAAAGCAAAAGGCCTGCATGGTTCCGCAAGTCCGGCTGAGGAATCGCTTGGTCTCAGTCGGATGAATCAAGTCCAACTCATCCACGCCACCATGCCAACAATGGTTCTTGGGCAAAAGCCTCTTTGGTCACATGATCCTTTGAAACGTCCATGGCATCTTTGCAGCCATCCAAACACGCATTTCCATCAAGTCTTGAGAACACCACCGACTTCGCCGCTTCCAAAGCAGCTGCGCAAGGCCTCGAATACACTTCGCGACTGCACGTGTGTGGATTCGTATGGCTTTGTGATGTATATTGTATATTCGACTCGACATGAATGCCCCCCGAAACATGGGAGTCAAGTGGCTGGAAGGGCACCAACTCGTCGTGACGTGGCCTGGTGTAGCAGCCTGCACCTGGCAAGCAGGACCGTCAAACGATATCAAAACTCTAGACTTCCAAAGTCTTTTTGAGTCGTGGACTTGGCGGTCTGGGCTCCAGCTTGGCCTGAGCCAAGTTGGTAAAAATCATTGACTTCTTGCTCAGAAACTCGTGCTGCAAGAGTCAAACATCGAGTAATTTTGCACAATACCCTCATGACATCTCATGACGGTGTTTTCTGGTTTATACCATTTTCTATCCGCACCTTCGGCGGCGGCTTGCCAATACCGCGCCGCGTCATTCGCATTGTGGCAGCCTTGACTCTTAAACGAGCGAATGTGTTGGGGCGTGAGTTGAGGGATATCAAGCCTCTACGGGTGATGGTGCACTGCAGTTCAATGTTGAGTCCAACTTTTTCAAAAAGCACATGGGGAAATCAAAGTTCTAGCTGCACGAGGCAATACAAGGCAAGACTCCCTGGGCACTCCTGCCTGCAATTTGGGCGTTTGCTTTGATTTTCCTTATTGGTGACGTGATTCCGGCCAACACCACCCACCGGTCACCGGTCCAAGTGAAATATATGCTTGATCTCTACATTTAGGCAGCTCCATGCTGTCAAGCTGCTCACAAGTCTGGGACTCGATGATCTGGCCCTTTCAAGCGGAAAAGCCTTCCACAAAAAGGGGCTGCTTGTATGGGCTGCAAGTCAACGGCTTTCCAGCTTTCCACTCTTGGCTCAAGACTGGCTGTCCAGCCGCGAGACCCTCAGGTGGCTCTGCGGCATCCTCCATGTACCAAGGCCTGCTCAAAGTCAAGGTGCAAAAGGCAAAGGGAAGCAACATACAATACAATGAATTTGCATACTATCGTATTCGTGTTGATATCCGTTTTTGTCCATAGGAGGTACGGTCAACATTTATTGTGTGCGGCTGTTGCATCCTCAGATTTGTGAGTCCCCTATCGTTTGCCAGGGTTTGGAGCTGCCCACATATGAATGCGACGCTCTTTTGCAATCGTAATCATCGCAAATTTTCGCAGGCTAGGAAGTCTTTCACAATTCTCTCGAGTCTGTCACCATGTTTGAACAAATAAGCTAGTGGTGAAAGGGTTTGTCCGAACAGGCGCCTTCGCATCTTCCCGCGCTTGGGAGATGGCGGCCTTGCAGCACAGCCCTGCGCCACCATCTGATCTCGGCGGTTAGGATAGCTTCAAGTCACAGAAACACAATTTTCGGTTTTGCAACGCTTTTCGACAGTCTAAAAGAACGGCCCATCTTATGTTTCTCTGATGTGAAAGGTGCTTGAGGCGGAAGCATTCGTCCATCTCACTACCATCCAACTGTAGGCCTTCGGAATTGCACGTGTGATAATCCATGTGGCAAGACTCCTGGATGTTGTCAACATTTAACAAAGCTGATTTGAACGAAACTGCAAGAGCTCAAGCATCTGGCTCATAGGATCGTGAATGGAGGCACGCGCCAGGAAAGCACCTGTTTTCAACCGACCAGGTCAACCAACACCGACCCTCTTAAAGTCGATCACTGCGGGTTGAGTCAACTTGCTGGTTGAGTCAACAGCGTTCCAAACAAAGACTGAGTCCAAAACGACCAGTGCGGTAGGATTCACTTCTTTCTGGCCTTGATACGGCTAGAACCTTTGCACTGTGGACAAAGGGAGGTAGATGAAGAATCAATGGTTTTCTGAGAGGCATGCTCTGAGGTGGACCAATTCCAGCTAACGCTGCCTTTGCTGTGAGGAAGCTGCACACATTTCCACCAACAGGTTGAAATGACTAGGGGAAACTGGGGTGGCTATCCATGATCTATCATCAAACTCGGAGCGCGAAGCAAGTCTCGAAGGGACAAAGAATCGCATGGCTCAACTAAGGTGACCCCAAATGGCTAGGCTGAGGAAGCCACACAAAAAGTCATCTACATCGTAAGACCTCAGCTACAGTCGTAGGTCGCACATGGTGGCCGAATGGTGTCATCTTTCACAAGTCTGCAGCCCATCATCTCCAGTGCAATGGTTGAAGGTACTGGTCGCTTCCTAAGCAGGATTGGGGCACACACACACACACGTCGTCTGATTTTGGACCTTGAAGCTGGCTGGTAGGCTCATTGCAGATAAAATCTTCCCGGAAAGACCTAGGGCCCTTGCTTCCAACCGTCTGGCAAACGAATCAACTTTTTCCTGCATGCCACAACGAAGGGAACTTGGACATCTGATGACTTTTGGCAAGCCGAATCCATCTTCTGCCCTGCTGCTCAAATGCCCACTGATCCCGGAAAGAGAATGAATGCGCTGCTGCCTGCAACTCTGGTTTCAACTGCATGTCCAGCAGTGGCCAATAGCTCTCCGACCTGGACCTCAGAATTCTCAGAAATACCTTTCAGCAAAAGATTCCCGAAACAAACCAGAAAGCTAGCCCACCAAAACAAACTGGTCTGCAATGTACAATGTAAATACAAAGGTCCCGGAATTAATGTTGGATATTTTTTCGTTTTGTTTTTGGAACTATTTTTGTTTTTTGGAACAACCAGGAGAAACAGCAGAAACAACACACCAAGCAAGAAAGAAGGCACAAAATGCAGCAAAAGCAAGGAAAGAAAAATGATTCACGAAGAAGCAATGAAAAGCAAGGAACAGTAAAACAGGCGCAGAAAAGCAGGAAAAGCAGAGAAGCAAGGAAGCAAGGAAAAGCAACACAAGCACATAAAAGCAGGAACAGCAAGAAAAGCAAAGAAGCAGTGAGAAGCAAGGAAAAGCAAGCCAAGCACAGTGACAGAAACAAAAAAAACAAAACAAAACGAAAAACAAATTGCATACCCCTCCGAATACAACACCTGGAGAAAGAATACTCAGCAAATCTTACTACAAAGCGTACACGGGGTGCAATTCATCACCCTCACTGAGTACTCAAAACACATTTCAGCACAAAAGAATGTAAAACCATGAAAAATCTTTGTGGTCGCAAGGACGCTACTAGGGGCTCCTGGCATCGCTACTAGGAGCAAGGACGCTACTAGGGCTAGGGGCTCATGAAATTACCACCACTATCAGCCTTGCATGGACACCTTGCAGGGCTGGAAGGGCTGTGGCCCCCACGGCTTGGTCGTCTCGGGCACGGGAGAAAGCTCTTCGCCCTGGTTGCCCTCTTCGCCTTCTCCGCCCTCCACTGGGTTCTCCTCTTGGTTCTCCACAGGCAACTCCTGAGAGTCCTGCAAAGGCTGGGCTTGTGAATTCACTGCCACTCATGCAATGCAGTCCTTATTTGGATTGGTTCCTTTTTGGGCAAGCCAATTGGGGACAGTATATGAGACGTTTTGATCTATTCTATTTACGCTCAAGTAATGCAAAAATGCATCAAATCAAACGTTCACGGTGTTTATCCCATTTATACTGATTAGCTCCTCCTGCACACGCTGCATATCCGTCTCTTCCACTTCCTCATTGTCCCTTCGCTTCTTTCAGTTGACAATGTGCAATTTGCAAACATGTTATAACACGTTTTATTTCTGGGCAAGGCCTAAAGTCATTGAATCATTTTGTTTAAATATGTTTTTTGCACCAATTCATGTGCCTGTGTGCATCGTCTTCTGCCAGTGCTGCTTCAGCAACTGCAGCTTCTGCCTGGCTGTCCTCATGTCAGGCAAACGTTTCGCACCATGCTGTGCACAACACCCCGAACCAAACATTGGAAAAAACACAAGGACTGTTGTGCCGCATTTTCCCAAAAAACAGTCCAGAGACTGCGTCATCGGCAAGGTCTCCAGACCCTGCGAACGGAACAACCCCAGACCATAGCATATATCTTGCTTATCTCATCCTTAGATGCATGCTTGACTGCACCCTTGAAATAACAACACCTGCCTCAGATTGAGGAGACACTCCTCCAGCCTTACAATGACAACTTCTCATGAAATTCAACACAGGCACATGCTGGGATGTCCTAAAAATCAATGAACATAACAAGAAGGTTGAGGTGTTAAACTGCCGTTATGCGCGCCACTCGCCGAAAATCTGCACCCTTAAGAGCCTTTGGGCTGCTGGCCATGGCATGTTCCAGTAACGCCTTGGCTGCGATGGCCACCTGGCACCAAGGTCTGGCCCATGTTTGATGTCATGTCAATGTCGTCTCTCTTCTCCGCGTTTTGTGCTTCTTCAAAGCTGTTGTAATCAATGCAAATGATTGGTCGAGTTTGCATGGGAAGCGTGTTGGCAAATCGCTCTACTCCGATGTGGCGGTGACAGGGAAGCGAGCACGTGCTGTGTACATACTGAAGTGTCACCCAAGAAGTCAGTCAAACAGCAAACTTCGGCCTCGGGTGAAATTCCTCCGGCCTTGGGGGCAAAGATTCTGAACCAAGCTACATCTATCTATATATTTGAGAAAGCAACTGCAAGCAGCTGCACAACGTCAATGAGAAATTCAATCACCCCAAACGTTAGCGCACGATAGGCAGGTGTGAGATCAAGGGCTCAATGAAAAGTTTTCAGGCCAGGCACTTCACGGAAGGCCTGGGGGGAATGATTCAATGAGTCGACTGAGTCTGTCAATCTTTGGGTTTTCTGATCATGTACAACAACTTCCAGCAACCATATCTTTGCAGGGCTCTTGAACCTGGCTAAGCTCCTCTCCATGGCATGAGCAAGCAACGCTTGTGCCACCTGTGTGAAAGATTTTTGCCGATCAATGCTCGAGAGAGTAAGCTGCATTACATGATGGCCTGGTCAGTTGGTGACGTCTCATCCTCACAATTCATGCAACACAAAACAATGTATGTCCTTGATGAAAACACGTTTTGTCCGTGGTGTCAAACAGCATGTATGAGTAGGAACCACATTAACACAACTATTGCTGGATTTAGGCCAAATTTAAGAGCACCGTCCATAGGATGAAGTGGGCCACTGTAGCTGAGGAGGCTACAACCTCTTCATCATCCTGCAGCTCTTGGCCTGACATCTGCAAAATTGAATCCAAGGGGCAAAGCGCTGCTCTGATGCATGATCAATTTGCAACAAAAATCACCTTCTCAGCCAACCATTGCAGCCATTCTGAGCAGGTCCCACAACAACAACAGAGCCTTCATGTGACGGAGCCAAATGAGAGTGAGAGAGAGAGAGAAAGAATTTCACAACACTAACATGTAACCTCACCAGTGCGAGAACAATGACAATAAGCTGACCAGGAAGGATGCGAACCTGCATGAAGATACTGACATCTGTTGGGTCAAGCAATATATGATAATATGTACTATGTACCGTTTTTTGTGTTGTGTAATTATGTAATCATGTTTATATGTACATGCAATGTTCAATCGATGCAGGCAGCGGCGGCAGCGGCGGCGGCAGCAGCAGCAGCAAGCAAACGCCATTACAAGCTGTGAAACCTACGTTGATATGAGAGCTTAAACAGCTTGAGTTGGACAAAAAGAGCCCGGCGGGCCCGTTTCTGTGCTTACGGCTGCAAGCATTTTCTACATTGTGTCTTGAAGATGATGCGTGTTGTGTGGGCCACTCAGTTTTGGATTGTTGAAGTCTTCAGAATAATCATTCACATCTCCGAAGTAGATCGAAAACCGTTGCAATTTTTCGATAAAGATGCCGGGATTTCGCGCAAACAAAGCGAGATGTTTGGAAGAAACGCAAAGCACTCCGCAAAAAAAGGTGTAAAGGACTTGTAGTTTCGAACAAGCAACACAGCGCCAAAGTGGACGAGACGATCGAAACGCAATGGTGATCGACAGTTCAACAGTGAAACCTCCTGAATAAACGACAGACTCGGATCGGGGAACCGGGAGCAAACATCAGTGTGTGTGTGTGTCCACCCCTGGACAAAGGGTTTTCCACCGCTACTCCTTCCACAGCTTTTCAACCACCTTTTTCAACCACCTTCTACAGGCAGGGGAGTGGAGCAGGCCTGCAGAGCTCCACTTAACAAAGCTCTCTGCAGTGTCCTGAGGATATCAGCAAGGACGCTTGCTGACGTACCTGCACCAGAAACTGTTGCTCAAGCTTTTCCACTTACGATTTGATTCATGGTGGTTTCACATGCTAGTCCCCAAAACCAGCTTCCTTCAGCCGCTTTCCGCTGACTTTGAGTTTGCCGCTGCAGTCATGCGATTGAAACAATTATGTTCAAACACCTTCAAATGCCTGGACATTTCACCTTGCTGTTCCACCGCCATCCTTCCCACCGTGGTAACTGAGTTAACTGAATACAAGTGTCAGAGTGTGTTTCGCTCAGCCGTCCCACTCGGGTGCTGAGTGTGATCCCCGTCACAGGGGCGCGGTTTTTCACGTCGGTAAGCAACCAACCCAACATGCCACCTCTCACCGGATTTCCACTGGAAGTCATTGACACACCCTTTGAATCAACTGATACATTGGCCGCCGGGCCTAAACACGGCAGCTTTCTCTTCCACCAGCTTTCGGATCAGACAGCCGCCGGGCTATAAAGCGGTGCATTGCAAAACCCCAAAGAGGCAGGTTCCCCAACCCCCCCCCCCCCC